TGAGAAACTGAAAGTGTAAATAAGGACTAAAAGGTATAATAGATAACGTGAAATAGGAAGAAAAGGGGCAAAGGGGAGGGGGAAGTGGGAGGGGTAGGGAAAACGAAAGTGGGGAATGGAATTAATATGAGAAAACGAAAAAAAGGAAACAAAGTCTATGTAAATAGGGAGGGATGGAAGGGTTGAAGGGAGGGTAGGGGAAGGGGTAAAATAAGAACCAAGAGAGTATATAAAGGTGCCTATCTCCAATGATGAATGTCATTATGTTGCACATTTAAGATGTTCCAATAAAGGATATACAAAAAAAACTGATGGTTATAACTGAAAAAAATAAATATAAATACAAGATTCTGTTGAATAAAAGACCTCTTCATTGCTCACCCGTGACATGTTGGTACCGAGTTCGCCCGAGCATTGAGTGCATGGCATGTCCCATTTCATGGAAAAGATTTTCCATCATCCCAGGAGTTAATAAAGTGGGTGACTTCCTTGAGGAATGGGGAAGATTCAGCATAAGAACTACAACTGGGAGTTGATATTCTCCATCTTCCTTTAATCGGCCTCCTCGAATTGTAAAATGGCAATCCTTCACAAATCAGAAATACACAAGTAGATGAAAATATTATGGAATTAGAGAGTAAGAAAGTCTTAAGATAAAACTACTGAAATGAGTAAGTTCAAATTTTATTCTATTAATATTCACTGTATATTTAAAGATACTGTTATTCTGCAAAAGTTTTAGTTTTTTATATTAAATCATACATTGAGTTTGTATTAATTCCTTCATTTGTTCCAACAACAAGCATTAAACTGATGCTGAACCAGACGCTAGAAACAAAGTGATCCATGAGCTTAGATCCTTACACTCAAGGTGTTCACAAGTAAGTGGGAAGGGACAGACACCAGATTCTGGGAGAGGGGCACTAATGTTTTATGTTGCATCCTTACCATGTGTCAGACAGTGAATGAGGAGGCATTTTCTATGTCTGCTGTCTTTATCAGTGAGGAACAATGGCCCTGACTGACCCTAACGCAGGGGATGTGGAGTAACCTCCTCTGGGGCAGTCACTACACTGAGATGGGCACTTATGCCTTCCTCATTCATTCCTTACAACAACCTCATTAGGCGGTGTCTTACTCTCCAGATACAAAATACTGATACCAAGTTTTGGAAATATCAAGTGCCATGTCCAAGGACACTCAGCTAGAATCACTGCATCTGGAATCTAAACCTAGGCTGACTGCTATAAACTGGGACTGCTAATCACTAGGCTGAAGCCTCTGTTACCATTCAGGCAAAGAGGAAAACCATGGGACTCTGAGCCTGGTCCCATGCATGCTGCTCCTGCCCTTTGCCACCTGCTAGTTAAATCGTCTTGGAAAGCACTGTATCTTACATTCTTGTTTCTAGAATACAAAATGCTATCTTGCCACATCACAGATGGTTGACCACATTTCCTAAGCTCATATCTTAAAATGCTTTGGAAATTGTGAATCATATTCAAATGTGAGGTACCTCTCTGTTACAACTGATAACCTGAACTCTGGACATTTCCCATCAAGTTTCATAAAACTGTTAACGTTGATTAGTTGGCAAAGCTGGTCTGCAGCTAAAGGAATGGAAATCAACCCCATGTCTTCACATAAGGAGGTAACTGGTGGTTGGTACGGTTTCCATTTGGGCATATCTTTTGCCACTGTTATCTAGATTCACTGTCAAGCACAGAAAGGTATTAAGAGCTGGGGCTCTAGCCAGAATGTCTGGGTTTCAATCCTAACGCTGCTGTCTGTATGCCTCTGGCCAAGTACATAAGCTATCTGGCTGTAGTCTCATTTCATTTTTTGGGAGACGGGCTGATGATTTATGTCATTCCTATGATCTGTACTATTTTAAAATTCTACCCTATTTTCAAACTTACAGATTAAGAAACTATTACTAGTGCCTTTTAAATATTATAGAACTACAAAAATTATAAAGTTCCCATAAGTACAAATAAACTGATTGCGTCTAGACAGACCAGTTTATAAAGAAAAGATCACCTGATGCGGTTTTTCTGCTCGCTGGAAAAAATCACAGTAAATGTGCCCCAACAATCCTTCAGATTCGTGAACAACAGCCTAGAAAACAAGTTGAAATTTAGTGGTGAATGAGCTCACTGGAAACCCTAAATGTGGGAAAACATCCCTAACATAAGGACAATCCCCATCCATCACCACAAATACGGACGTTTCATTTATTTTCTACTTCCCACATTATCTCAAGACAAATTGATTCTCTCCCCTTTCCCTTTGCTCCATCTCTCCAACAGTTTTGATTCGGGAATTCCATCTCCAGGAGGAAAGGTCCTCTTCATGGGAACCCTTGGTCCTGTTTGCCACCCTCTAGCACCTGTACTGACCACAGCTCTGCGCAGACCATTCACGAGCCTGAAAGAGCCGGAAGATGAGCTGGCTGGATAGCATCAGTGACAAAGCTACTTCCCTTCATATCATGCCCACACAAACTGTAACTCTTGAACTCGGAAATGCAGCTCTTAGCTTTAGCTGGAAACCAATAATACATACTAATTTTCATAAATTAAAAAGAAGGGCCTATGAACAAGCCACAGTTTAAAGGAGATACACAACCACTGGTCTCCATCTTGCTGCTTTTTCTTTTTTTCTAAACTTGATTCTATCATACAGAACCCTCATTTTGTGCTTTTCATGGCACTTGGGAAACAGAAGTGACTGCCCAGGAAGCCCACGCTCCTAGCAAGGAGCACTTGTACTCTGTCCTTCCAACTTTTTGTTACCAGATTTCCTTTTCACTGCACCTCTGTGCTCTCAATGCCCATCACTTTCTTAAGTTAGCAATACATACAGGGAAACCGAGGAGGTGACCACAGTGATGAAGCCCCTCCATCCTGACTCTTTTCAGCCCTCCACATACTCATTCCCTGCTCACACAGGTGGTCCAGAGTCAGAGTGAAATAAGTACAGTGTGGTGAGCACAAAGACAAAAACAAACAACGCAATAACACAAAGCCTCAGGGAAAAATGTGTAGGTTGGGAAAGCCTCAAAATCTTCTGAGGAAGAATTATATGCACACTAAAATAAAGGGGTACTTGATAAGAGAAGGACAAACTCCAGACTTGAAGTTACTGGTAAGGAAATCAAATAAATCAGAGCACAATACAAATTAATATCTGAACCGAGACAACCTCTACAAAATCAAGTGGAGTTGGATAGAAAAGAGAGAGGCAGCGATGACCAGGAGGCTGAATGAGGCAGGAGGGTCACAGCTCTGAGCCTAACATGGGCACCTTAGTGACTCAACAGACCGTGTCTCCAATTTTTAAAAAAATAATTTAATTAAAAATTTAAAAATTTTTTAAAAAGACAGATAGCAACAGAGTTTGGATGCGAGCCAAAAGAAACATTCAGCACTACAGGTTTCTAAGAAGAAGTAATAACAAACTTCCTTGTAACTAGAATTCAAGAACCCAGGAAGGTGCACAAATGAACACTCAATCTTCTAACACGCTCCTAAAAGAAACTATTTTTGAGAACTGTCTTAGTTATTTTATGTTTAGATCCTTTATACACGTGTCCTAAGTCAGAAGTGGCCCTCTTGATTTTTTTTACAAAACAGAAATAAGGTGGGCACCCTCCATTGGGGCTAAGTGAACTCAGAGGTGAAAGTGTGCTGACTCAGTCACTAAGCCAAGGGACAGAGCGACGTGCTCTACACCACAGGGGAGGCCTACCAGTTTCCGGACGTCTTCGGACCACACCTCGCCTTTGGCAGGCTGCTCTGCATACAGTGAAATGCCCAGCAGTTTGTTAAACAAGATATTCAGGCCTTCCATGCACGCTCCAAGGGAGAAAAATGGGCAGTATAAACTGGGCTCAATATTATACCTGAGAGAAGGAAGAGGAGTTCAACAGCATTTTTATTTCAATCTCTGAAGGTAAATCTAGTTCATTATTTAATATTCATGATCACGTGAGCTAAAAAAGGACTCAAAACATACAGGAGTATAGTTGGTCCTCTGTATCCCCAGGATTCAAACATTCAAACATCCAAGGATTCTGGGCCGGGGATTTAGCTCACTGGTTTCTCCGCCTGCTGCGCAAGCACAAAGACCCAAGTTCGACCCCTGGTACCAAACAAAAAAAAACCCAAAAAACAAAAACAAACATCCAAGGATTCAACCAATTTCAACAGCAAATATTCAGGAAAAAAACTGCACCTATACTGAACAGATACAGACTTTCTTTTTTTTTTTCGGTATGGGGGATTGAACTCGGGTCCTCATGCTTGTGCTGCAGGCACGAAACCACTGAGCTAAATCCCCGGCCCCAGACTTTCTTTTGGACATCACTCCCCAAACAATTCAGGATAACAACTGTTTACATAGCATGTTCATTTTATTAGGTATTACAAACAGAAATGATGTACAGTCTAGGGGAGGCTATGCCTAAGTTCTAGCCAAATACTACCCCATTTCACAGGGGCCTTGAGCATGCTGGATTTCAGTGTCCATAAGAAATCCTGGAACGCATCCCTGGCAGATAAGAAGGGACCATAGTGCATCTATCATCTGAGGATACGGAGACTCGGGTTTCTTCACAATGATCATCTATTCCTAATAATATCAGTAATGCAATAATTAAGGTGGATACGTCAGTCCCCAGTCTCCATCTTTTCCTGGTTGATTTTTTCACTGGCCTAATTAAGCAGTCTGTCTCAATTACCCAGAATACACACACTCTTTCATACACATCTGTATACAAAGTATAGCCAGTTCCACTTAGGATAAATTTCACTTTATGACATGTATTATATTCTGTAAAAAGTGTGGCTTATTCCACACGAATATGAAAGGAAGCATTACCTATGGCAGAGAGGCCACTCCCTGGAAAGACACAGTACCTGGATGTGCAAGCACCTAAGGACAAGCACCAAGACACACCAGGCAAATAAGAAAAGGACCACAAGAACAAGAGATGTCCCTACTCCTACAGGTGGGCAGTTCAACACCTCTGTGTCAGAAGTGGACAGACAGTAGGCAGGAATCAGTGAGGAAACAATGGAACTCAAGTGAAGGATGTCAAAACAGATGCTGTTTTGTGAAAAATAAAAAGTTCACTTATCCATTTTGATGCCGGTATGGCTTGTGTTTAGATGTCTCCCCAAAGCCTCACACTTTCTCAGAGATGGCTGAATCCAGAGTGTGTGATGGATTCACAGTGGGGCGAGGCTGAGGGCACTGGGATTAAGGGTCTGAGTGCTACCTGCCCTAAGTAGTCTGAATAAGATAAAAGGGGCAGAAAGACAATGTTCAGGTCTCTTGTTGCTTTCTGCTCTCTTCCATTCCCATGAGCTGTTGCCCCTCTGCCACCCTGCCATGGAGCCAGCCAGTTACGGACTGAAACCTCTACGAACCGTGAGCCAAATAAACCTTGCCTCCTTTGACTTTGGGTGTCAGCAACAAGAGAAAAGTAGCTAACATAAATACCAAAGTAATTAGATTGACCTTAAAGAATAAAATTAAAGAGCAGAACGCTTGGTAGAACGCTTGAGGACACAGGAGAAGGCAAAGACTTCATGAACAAAACCCAGACTGCACAGGAAATACAACAAAGAATCAACAACTGGGACTTCATCTTATCAAAAAGCTTTTTCATGGCAAGAGAAACCACCAACAGACTGAAGAGACAACCCACAGAGTGGGAAAAAACTGTTACCAGCTATTCAGATAAAGGACTATTACTAGAATATATAAAGAACTCAAAAAAATCAGATCGCCCAAATTTAAAGACCCAATCCAAAAATGGACATCTGAAAAGACACTTCTCAGATGAAGAAGTAGGAACAGCAAGTAATATACAAAAAAAGTTCAATATCACTGGTCATTTATGAAATGCAAATTAAAACAATGCTGAGATTCCATCTCACTCCAGATAGAATGGCTGCTGTCAAGAAATCAACCAGTAACATATGCTGGAGGTGCTGTGGGGAAAAGGAGCTCTTCTCCACTGTGGGTGGGAATGCAGACTGGTGTAATCAGTGGAAATCAGTGAGGAGATTTCTCAAAAAAAAAATAAAACTAGAGGTCCCATTTGACCCAGCTATACCTCTTCTTGGTATCTTCCCCAAAGAATTAAAAGCATCATTCCACATTGATATATGCACACCCATGTTCATAGCAGCACAGTGTGTAATAGCTAAATCTTAGAAACAGCCCAAATGCCCATCAACTGACGAGCAGATAAAGAAGATGTGGTTTTTTAATACAACAGAGTATGGAGTACTATTCTGCCATAAAGAAGGATGAGATTCAGACATTTATAGTTAAATGGATGGAACTTGAGACCACACTCTTAAATGAAATAAATCAGACACACGTATTTAAATACTGCATTGTTTCTCTGGTGTGAGAAATTGAAAGTGGAAATAAGGACTGAAATGTATAACAGATGTTGGGAAATGGGAAGAAAGTGTTCAGATGGGAACGGGAAACAGGGAGGAGGGAGGGAGAAAGGAAGGGAGGGACAAGAAAAAAAGCGGAAATAGAAGGGAAAAAATGGAAACAAAGATTTTGTACATGGAGGGGGATGGGATAAAATAAAATTTATTTTAAAAAAGACCCCAACTAGAACCTTGATGAGAACGTAGATGATGAAGATGACAGCAACTAGAATTTACTGAGTCCTCACGATGGCACTGCACTAATCCCGTTAAGTGTACCCCATTTAATAGCAAAAGCAATCCCACAAGGGCATATAATCATAACCCCCTGCCCCTGTGGGACAGAGGAAGAAAAGGAGAGATTTACAAGATGATAAATCACCAGGCCGGGGGTTTAGCTCAGGGGTTCCGTCACCTGCCTCGCAAGCGCAAGGTCCCAAGTTTGACCCTCTGTACCAAAAAAGAAAAAAACAGATGATAAATCACCATCCTAGGGCCACAACTAGTAAGCAGAAGGGCTGAGATTTCCCTTTTAATTACATGATAATGGTTTGGGAGTTGAAGAAAATGATTAAGACAGCATGTCTTTGTTCAGGCTGAGGCACTGAAGTCATTTTTCAAAATATTTGTGACCCTTAAACCAAGGTTGGGTGTACACAGGGCTCTGCGCTGCGGAGGTGAACTCTCCCCACCAACCCACACAGGAGGGGCGGCTTCAGAGAAGCACTGGTATCCCCAGTAGCCCTGGAAAGAGAACCAAGGGAACAGAAGCGCAGGGGGCACACAAGCCCAGAAACACAGTATGCCCTGGACCTCACCAGCTAGCTCTGCACTCCCTCCACCTGCAGGCTCCTCACCTCCAGTGATGCTCACGGAGGAAATGCTAAGTCCTACCTGAAGAGGGGGCAGAACAAGAAGGGCCCTGATAGGGTGGAGGGATTCAAAAAGCTCCATAGTATGTACAGCACATACAACTGAGTCTGAGGTGACCCAAAGAACAGTCCTGCATGCCTGGCTGGCCAGGGTCAGAACATCTCTCGCAGTTTCGTCTACTATGCTCAAAGCTCACATCTTTAACAAGGCGTGGCATTTCACACGTCACAGGTCGGTGGATACTGTGGATACTGTGGCCATGCCCAGCCAGCCAGACCCAGGACGTGGCTTCTCCTCCTGCCTCAGTGGGGCATGGCAAAATCTGCTAGGAACATGTCGCTCCAACATCTTGGTCCACAGCCTTCACATTTTCGTAGATACTACGTTAAGAACCCTTTCCCCTCTCACTGAAATCCAAAACCATGGGAAAGTACGACAGACAGCACATCACCCCTTCCAGCAAAGTGAGCAAAGCAAACAGAGCAACATTTAAATGTATTCTGAGGATTTAACTGCAACGCCACCCCTGCCGTCATCAACACAAACCCTAAGTCCCCCTGCCTCTCTCTTCCCCCCTCAATGGGGTCCTATGTGACTGACCCAGGCTGATCTCAAACTCATGGGCTTCAAGTGATCCTCCTGACTCAGTCCCACCCCCATCTCTGTGCCTGGCTCTTCTAGAGTTTTCTAAGAGAATTTTATTACTTTTTTTTTTGCAAAGAATTCCACTGATTTGGTTCCAGAGATAAAGAATCTTTAGAACCCTTTAATTGATCTGAAGAAATAGGAAGAAAACTATTATTCACTAAAGATACAGAATGAAGTTCAGTAAGTGCGCCACTGTTTGTTCTAGTTAAAAATATACTACATGTGCATTTAGAAATTTCCAATTTTCAAAATACCAGAAAATAGAATCAGTACAGAGCTGAGGACAGTGGTGCATGCCAGTTAGTTAGGAGACTTATTTAAGGAAATCAGGTTCCAGGCCAGTGTGGGCAACATAATGTCACCATCTCAAAAAATTCAACATACTGACCACAGTAAAATGGTATTAAAATGATTAGATCATTTTTATTAAGCATAACAGAATTGAGGGCTGGAGGTATAGCTCAACAACAGAGCTGGTGTTTTCTCAGCACCAAAACAAACAAAAAAACAGAATTTAGCAATATATCAAAATTCTCACCAGGAACACTAATTATGATTGGAGTAAGCCCAGAAATATCAATGAAAAAGAGATTTTGCAACTGAAGAATTCTTCATTCATTATAATTTGACTTTTTAAAAATAACGTATGTCTATATGAAGCACACTCTACATCAGACTTACATTTCAATCTCAATGCACAAGGAATTAAGTAAAGAAAGAACTTGGCTATTACTTCCAAAAACCTTGGCATTGAACTTAGTGAAAACACAGAACACAATTAATTTCCTGGTTGAAACTGGAGGTAACCACAGGCTTCAGTGTCACCCTCTTCACTAAGTGAACAGGAGTTGAGACAGAGCAACACCAACAGGCCTACCAGAGGAGGTGAGTGGGCTAGGAGAAGCTTCTCACTTGGAAAGAAGAG